TTGTTGTTGGGGGCAATATGCTGACTCTGTAAACCGCTTAGAGAGGGCTGAAAGCCCTATGAAGCGGTATCTAAGTCTAACTGCTATTGCTATTGTATTCAGTCTGTGTTCATTCATCACCCATTCAAAACTGCTGTTGGTTTTTACCACTTACTATGAGAGGCAAACAACAGTATTTAGTAGCTATCATGGTGGCTAGCCATGGTTTGTTTAAACTTTAATTACGAATGCACCACCATTGGTTTTGTTCATGTAACTTAAGCATTTTTTCTGTTAGCTGATGGAACATAATTTTCAGACAAATAAGTGAAGTATTCAGGCAGGACAAACCATTCTCTTATTTAAATCTTAAAGGGAATTTAATACAAAATGTACATAAAAAGCCATACAAATATACAGAATTTTTCTTCCATTGCCGAGCATGTAAAATTAATTGCATTTTCTTCTACTTCACTTCAACACTTTCCTCTACGCAATATTCCGCTTTGAACTTCGTAGTTCATTGTCCACTATTTTGAGTAAATCTGGTCTACTCTTCGCAGTAAACTTTAAAATAAACCAGATCTGTTCCCTTTTTTTTTTTCATTCGACTTCCGCTGTTCCTTTCTAATGTCATTTCTTTCCATACCTCCAGCTCCCATTCTTTGCTTTTAACAGTTTACTCTGATAATAGCAATTTCAGCAGAAATGTTGGGTGACACCTAAAAATTAATTACGTTGGGGTTAAATTGGGAAGAAAGAACTTGTGAAGCTGCTAATAACATTCAGAAACGTGATTGCCTTGTATAAATACTCCTGCCCTGACTATCACTTCTACAACTCTAGTATCAACAGGACGATTTGAAAGAGAAACAACAGCTAGAGAAACTACATCCGAGAAAAAGGGAAGAATGGAATACAAGATATAAATAGGAATAAATAAATAAAAACCCTTGAAACTAGTGGAATTGTAACACTCAAGCTGTGCTTTTGAACCTTTTATCCTCAGACTTATTCCAAAGGCAAAAAAACACTCGTTCGATGAGGCAAAGATGGCATCACGTATCCAGGAATTCTTCCTTCACATTGTTCTTTTCGCCGAAAGTGGTGCCACGTGTGCAAAGAAATGGACCAGCTTTCAATCTGGTTTTCAGAACGTGTCTATGGGGGAATTCTTATAAGCGTTCAGGTTATTGAAGACTTCCTTGGTGCCGTTTTGCCACTGCAGAACAAGATCCATCGGAGTTTTCCCTTCCTATGCAAAGACAGTCAAGGAAAATGCAGTTTAGGCTTCTTGGAATGTGATTTCTGTTATCCTTTATTTTTTATTTCACTTGATCGATTTCTTGTAGGGCCAAATGAGGGAGAGAGGTCTGATTCGCATGATTTGAATAAACATAGCAATAGCAGTTAGACTTATGTACCGCTTCATAGGGCTTTCAGCCCTCTCTAAGCGGTTTACAGAGTCAGCATATCGCCCCCAACAATTCTCATTTTACCCACCTCGGAAAGATGGAAGGCTGAGTCAACCCTGAGCCGGTGAGATTTGAACAGCCGAACTGCAAGAACTGCAGTCAGCTGAAGTAGCCTGCAGTGCTGCGTTTAACCACTGCGCCACCTCGGCTCCTTGTTCAAGAAGATAGATGCTTCGCACTTCTAGAATTTGTGCTAATATGGAATTCAATCTGAACAATGAATGTGCTTCCAGCATATGTGTTGTAGCCTTGCCATAAATTCTTATTCTATCTATCGCACATCATCATCAAGAGCCGAGGTGGCGCAGTGGTTAGAGTGCAGTACTGCAGGCCACTTCAGCTGACTGCTAACTGCTATATATGTATTTTAGTGTCACAACCCCCGGTATGCCCAAATATGGGAGGAAGTCTACTGCTTCCATTCTCTGTCTATCGGCTCGTCACAAGAGACCATCCAGACAGAAACCCAATATTTTTACTGTTGCCTTTTTGTTACATTTGTGTT